GGGCTTTTATCACTGTGAAGAGATGCCATGACCACGGCAGCTCTTGTAAGGAAATCATTTAATTGGAGTGGAGGCTTCCAGTGTCAGAGGTTCAGTCCATTATCATTATGATGGGGACCGTGGTGGCATGCGGGCAGACGTGGTGCTAGGGTTGAGAGCGCTATCTCTTGCATTTACCAGGAAGTCAGCTGAGACACTGGGCAGTATCCTAAGCATAGGAAACCTCTCAAAGCCCACCCCCACAGTGACACACTTCCTCCAGCAAGGCCATGCCCACTCCAACAAGGCCACACCTCCTAATAATGCCATTATCTGAGATTATGGGGGCCAATTACATTCAGACTACCACTGTATATAGAAAGGTGAATATTTTTTTAATTTTTTTTCTAATTTTAAATCTAGCTAGTTTGTTGGAAGTGTTGATTAGTTCTAGGAGTTTTCTGGTAGAGGTTTTTTTGTTTGTTTGTTTGTTTGTTTGAAGGAGGCAGGTTTTGAGATAGGGTTTCTCTATGTAGCCCTGGCTGTTGTGGAACTCGCTCTGTAGACCAGGCTGGTCTCGAACTCACAGAGATCCGCCTGCCTCTGTCTCCCAAGTGCTGGTATTAAAGGTGCGAGCCACCACTGCCTGGCTCCAGGGGGAGTTCTAAAGTCTCCTACTTGTAGTATTCCATCATCTGCAAACACAGATGCTTTGATTCTGCCCTGCTTTTAACCCTTTCATTCGCTTGTCTTATTGGGGTAACTAAGACTTTGAACACTGTATTTAATGGCAGTGGAGTCAGTGGACAGCCATTTCTGACCCACCTTTTACTTAAATGGGATTCCTTTGAGTTTTCTCCACTTGGTGTGGTTGTTTGTTTGGCCATTGTCACTTGTTTTTATTTGTTTGTTTGGACTGTAGCCATTGAATCGCAGAGTTTAATCTCCTTGAGGGTTTTTTTGTTGTTGTTGTTGTTGTTGTTGCATTTCTTTTGCTGTTGATTTCAAACCTTAATCCATTGTTGCTAGAAAGAATATATGGAGTGCTTTCAATTTTCCTAAAGTTGTTGAGATTTGCTTTGTGCCCCATTCTGAGGTTTGTTTTAGAGAAACTCCCTTGGACTGCTGAGAAGAACGTCTATGCTGCATCCCTTGGGCACAATGGTCTCTAGCTATCTGTTAGGTCCATTTGCTCTATAACGTGCATTGGGTCCAACATTTCTGATCATTTTTTTGTCTGTTCTGGTGGAAGCTCCACCCCAGCCCCTGGTGTCCAAAGAGTCTGGAATGTTCTGGTGGAAGCTCCACCTCAATCCCCTTCCCCCATCTCTCTCTCCTTAAACCCTGTCTCATCTCAGAAAACCCACCAAAACACGCTTGATATAGGAAGTCCTTCTGTCTATCTGTTGCTTTTATTGGTTAATGAATAAAGAAACTAGCTTGGCCTGATTAATAGCAGAGTAGTGCTATTAATCTGAATGCTGGGAGAAGGAAGGCCGAGTCAGGAGATGCCATGGAGTGGCTGCTGGGAACAGATGAGCTGGAACCTTGCCAGGTAGGCCACGAGCCTCGTGGTAAAACATAAAATAATAGAAATGGGTTAATTTAATATGTAACAGCTTACTAGGAATATGCTATAGTGATTGGCCAAGCAGTGATTTAATTAATACAGTTTTTGTGTATTTATTTCGGGAGCCTGAGCAGCCGACCTTATATAAAGCATGCTCCTACCCCAGAGACGCTCAAGACCACTCCCACAGCGTATTTAAACTGCCCTCCCCCGAGACACAAGGTTTTTCCATCTCTCTTCCCTGTCTCCTCTCCGGGATCACTTTACCCATTAAACCTAGACTTTTTTTTTTGATTAGGTTTGGCTTGGCCTGATTTGGACTGCTGTGTCAGCAGAGAGGTTAATCAGGGCGCAAAAACTTTTTACTGTTCATTGGGGGAAAGTTAGGCATTGAAGTCCTCTACTGTTAATTGTGGAATATATAATCTGTGGCTTGATGTCTACTAGTTCCTATTTACGAAATTGGGTGTACTTGAGTCTGGTGTGTATATTTTGAATTGTCCTCTTGAGGGATTATTTCCTTAACCAAAATGAAGGGATTTTATCTTTTCTGATTAATTTTGGCATGAAGTCTGTTTAGTCAGATAGAATTGTGGTGCTGCTAGTGTCCTGGTCCCATTAATTTAGAATACCTTTCTCCATCCCTTTACTTTAGGGCAATGTATGTCCTTGAAGGTGAGGCGTTTGGACAACAAAAAGATAGGTCCTGTTTTCTAATCCATTCAGATAGTCTGTGTTTTGATGAGAGAAATGAAGGGCTTAATATTTAATTCCTGACATTTTAGGGTTTTGTAGTGTTCATTCTTAGTCCCAATTCACATAGCTGCCATCCTTCTTGTCATTTACGTCCCCCTTGGATGTGCTTGCCCTTCTTCACCCAAAGTATTCCTTCTAGTATTTTCTGAAGGGCCAGTTTGGCTTGACTTAGTCTGACTTTATTATGGAAGGTTTTGGTTTCTCTTTCCATTAGATGAGTAGTTTTTCCAGGCAAAGTAGTTTAGGTTGACAGTATGTTCTCTCGGGACTTGAAGCACCTTGCTCCCTGTCCTTCTGGCTTTCAGACACCAAGAGAGAAGCTGCCTTTGTGTGTGACTTAGGCCTTCTCAAGTGCAGTTTTCAATACCCTCCCTTCACCTTAATGTTTGACTAGGATATGGTGTGTGAGTTTCTTCCCCAATCTGTCTGGCATCCTATGTGCCTTTTATATCGGAACTAGCATCGTTTCCTCTAAGAGTAGGAAGATTTCTTCGATGCTTTTATTGAAGTTATATTCTATGCTTTTGATCTGAATTCATCTCCCTCTTTTAGGTTGTATGATATGTAGATTTTGTCTTTTCATGGTATAGCAGAGTTCCTGCATAATCCATTCACGGGTTTTAAAATTTTTTTATTATTTTCTTCAATTGAAAAATGATCCCATTCTAGCTTGTCTTCAAATCCAAATCGCCTGTCCTCTACACAACCCATCCTGTTAGCCAGGCTTTCCACTAAATTTGCTTGCTTTGTTTTCTAGTTAGAATTCTCAAAGCGTTCATCTATAGTTTTGTTTCGCGTTGGGTATTCTCCAGTATTTTTTATTTCCTTATTGAATTCAATTTCCTAAATTGTCCTCATTATTCCATTCAGCCAGTTCTTATTTATGTGTGTTGTTGGACTTCACTTGAGAGTTTAATCCTGTCTTCTCTAAGTTAATCCAAGCGCTTATTCATGGCTCCTTTGAATAACTCTTTGAACATGTTTACAATTGTTCTTTTAAATTCTGTCTTGTATAAGTCATTCTCACAGGAGACAAACATGGGGTTGATGTTCTTTGTGGGAGGGGCATATCGTCTTGGTTTTTCATATTGCTTGCATGCTTGTGATGGGGAACTGGGCATCTGCAGTTAAAATATTTGTTGTGTATTTCAATGCAATTTTTTATTCCAATGGGCCTGAATTCCAAGGTGAGGAAACAGGCTGGGCAATTTTGGAAGAGTCTCAAGGGGATGGAGCTGAGGAGACAGGGTCTCTTACCAGAACCCCATGGGTGACTAGAGGGAGTACTGAGGCAGGGCAGCAGGCCAGGTATCTTGGGAAAGTCTGGAGTGGGCAGGGCTCTTACTGGGGCGAGCCATGAGCTGTGTGCCTGAGGATGCCCCAGGATGGACCACGTCAAGGCCCTGGAAACATGCCCGAGATCTTGTGAGTGGCCAGGGAAAGGGAGCTGGGTAAATCTAGCAGGTACCTGGAACTCAGGAGGGTAGAGACCAAAGGCATGGAGTGGGTAACCACCGCAGGCCCTTGCTTTCTGCTTCTGCAGAATCTCACCATAGTGCTCCTAATCCTCCTGTCCTCTCCTGTCCCCTCCATGGGTCCCTAACAGGCACCTGGAATGTCCAGTTGTCTTCCTTCTTGCTTGTGCCTTGATTGCCTGAAACGGCCTTGGGACAGAGAAGAAACAAAAGCCTCTTGCCAAGACGACTAATGGACATGTATGACCAACGGACATGTATGTGGGGCTGGTGTGTGGACCTAAGGTGGATTAGTAACACAGTTTCCATTCCAGGATCCACAGCATCCCTTAAGGGAGAGCCTACATGGCCCTCTGTAGACGTGGAGAAATGAGGCAGAGAGATGAGTAACTTAACCTAAGTCACACAGAGAAGAGGCTGGATGCCATCGGGTCCAGGTAGCTTAAAGTTCAAAGGCCTAACCACTAGTCTACACTACCACTTCCACCCTTCAAATCCTTCATGGTCTCACACTGGTCACCTGAGGATCTCACCTTATATGCCACTTCCATTCCCAGACTCCTTGGCATGGCTCAGGAGGTTCCTGACAGTTGTCCCAAACCCTGTCCAGTCACCCTTTCCACTCTGATGCCATCCCTACTGTTTACAGACTGTGGAACGTTATAGCACGACTTAGCCCGTTTCCCATGAGGACCCTCAGCGGTCTCATGACTTCACTCAGTTCTCACTAGGACCTGGCCATCAGAGACCGGTGCTCAGAATGTAATAAAACACAGCGTTTTCCTGTAAAGCCAGATGGTAAAGAACCTTTGGCTTGATGGGCCAAAGTCTCTCTCCCAGACAATCAGCAGTTAGAACCTGAATGTTTGAACCGCCCAGAAAAAGCTCAGCCCTTATCCCCAAGGTAATAGTATTGGGTGGGTGGGTGGGTGGAGTATTAGTGCACATGGGTAGAACTCTTACAAAAGGGACCCTGGAGAGTCGTAATCAATTCCAACTTGTTAGGACACACTGAAAAGACACCGTAGGCACAAATCTGAGAACCCTTACCAAACACCTAACACGGGCTCTTTGAACACCCCAGCTCCCCAAAATGTGAGGAATAACTTTCTGCTGTTTGTAAGCAATTCACAGTAGGGTATTTTGTTGTAGCAGCCCAGGGAGGCTAAGCCAGGCAGCCGCACACAACACAAAGAGGAATGAACATGGCTGGCCGCCAGTAAGATTTTATTATGGCCACAGAAATTTACATTTTAAGTAATTTCCATGTGTCATGAAATTGTTTAATCTTTTTTTTTTGTGGTAAACATTTAAAAATGCAAAAAAAAACCTTTCTTAGCTCCTGGGTCATGTGTATAAAAACAGGGGCTGGACTAGATCTGGTGAGCAGGCTGCAGGGGGCCAACTCCGGGTTTAGGGCGCCACCTGGCACACAGGAAAGGCTTCACCAACCTAAGAGAAGCAGTCACGAGAGAGCAGACATGTAGGGGCTGCCATAGGATGTGTGAGCCGAACAGACGTGTCCAATAGAAGATGGGCCGAGAACCCAATACCCTCTGAGCATTGGCTGTGGGCACCGCTAAGCGTCTCTCCCTTAGGCTATGGGCTCTCCATAGACTGAGATTGTACCTCCCATTTGTCCCTAGGTTGAGGTGGGCTCAGAGAGGTTAAGGCACTCGTCCAGGCAACACTGCACAGCTTCTATGTGGCTGAGTGGGGATGTGAACCCGCCTATTACAGGATATAAAAGACTGTACTTTTCCCACAGCCACCATTGACTGGGAATGTTCACTGAAAACCCACTATGTGAATGATGCCAAGTCGGTGGGATAAACCACTTACCTTTGACCTTGTCAAGTATAGAGTTGTCTAGTAGGAAACCAGATACTCCATTGAACAATTACAGCTGGGATTGAGACCTCCTACCCCCAGAACCCTTGGGAAGGGCCCCGAGTTTACAATCCTAGCCCATCTTGGGGAACTCGGAGGAGACTGAGGCGTGCCAGAGAAGGAAGGGCTGGGGAAAGCAGGAAACAGGATCACCACACTAACCCACAGTTTTGCCTGTGTGACCAGGAGGCCAGCCTGTGCCCCAGTATTCCTGAAATCGGTTGTGCGGTTTGTGGCCTTTGTTGCTGAGTCCCCTTCCCAGGTCAGTGTCTGTGGTGCCCTTGGCTGCTACCCTCTCTCCTCCTGAATGGCTTCCACATTTCTGTGTCCCAGCCCCCTGGAGACAGAATTCAGTCCGGTCTCGGCATTTATCATCGCGGACTTGAAGTTATTCTATTAACTGGAGAACTGATTGTGGCGGAGGGAGGGGGGGCGTCCTAGGGAGGGGTGCTATCTGGAGTTGGGTTTCCTGCCCTTCCAGGCTCCTTACTTCCTCCCAGGAGCTGCAGGCAAAAATCCCTCCTTTGTCTTGCTGGGAGAGTCCTGCCCACCTCCACAGAGGCGGTGCTGTCTTCCCAAGGGATGCTGGGAATGTTCTCTCTGCACATCAAGCTGTTCTCCCTGTCCTCCATGCCAACCTCCATGACAGCCATTCCTAGTTTACAAATGAGAAAGCCATGATGTTGGGAATCAGAGGCAGGCCCGACTAAACCACAAATCAGTTACTCCGTTCTGAGCTGGGGACAGGAGGTGGAAGTTAAACGTCCCCAGCGGCTGGCAACCTCAGCAGAGGCAACCCTCTCTGGTTACCTCCCCCCATCTGAGGGTGTATGCTTCTTGTGTGTTCTTCCAGAGTGAGAGAATTAGACAAGATTGGCTGTGTCCATACACACCCCAGGCACCCTCAAACCCACAAGGGTCCTTCATGAGAAAAACATAGGAGACCAAAAGGCCAGGGTTACTGTGCTTAGCTTGGTAAAAGAGATGGGACCCCACTAGGGTCTATATTAGAAG